AGCCGGGGCGGCGCAGCTCCCTCACGATGTGCTTCTCTTGCAGCGGCCAAGCACAAGCAGATCCGTCGCGGTGTGAAGGAGGTCCAGAAGTTCATCAACAAAGGCGAGAAGGGGTAAGTGCTGCCCCGGGCCCGCTGCCCCAGCACCATCCGGGGCCGGGCCAGCTGCTGACACTGGGTTTTCCCTGCAGGATCACGGTGCTGGCCGGCGACACGCTGCCTATCGATGTGTACTGCCACATCCCCATCATGTGCGAGGACAGGAGCCTCCCCTACGCATACGTCCCTTCCAAATCGGTAAGGCGCTGGGGCTGTGCAGCCGGGAGGAACCAGCCCCAGCGAGTGGGAGCCCGGTAGGCAGCACCCGGCCCGGGCTGACAGGAGCCTTCCTGGGGAGGCACCTGAGTAAAGCACATGGTGCTCGTCTGCTGCTAAAGGAGAAGCCACTGCCCAAGCATTCATGTACCACCCAAGAATTTAACTGCTCAGACCAGGGTCCCTTCACAGCAGGTGACCCAATGGGTGCCCCTTTCAAGTCACACACACTCTCGCACACACTCCTTCCTCCTTCAGGCTCAACCCTAGGTTTCCCACAGCAAAGTCTCGGGCATCAGATTTTATAAAAATAAGTAATTTAATTGAAAGGTACAGCTGCAGGGTCAGCCTGGGCTGGGTGCCTCTGAAAATAGAGGGACTTGAAACAAAGAAATCCCTGAGCAATTAGACCCTTGTGATCTCTGCACCTTCCCCTCACATGCTGTTCACGTGTCTTTTAGTCCCATGGTAATTTTTGGTCTGGGATCTTCTAACACCTTACTGGATCCTTTTTCTGTGTGCAGGCAGACAGGCAGTTGACTGCCTCTGTTGATTTGCAGTCTCTGCTGAGGGTTGTAGCCTCCTTATCTTCTGGTTTATGCGTCTTGTGCACCTGCGCTCACTGGCAGAACACAGGGAACTGAAAAGTCCCAGACTTAGGGAAAGTACTACCAAAACATCAGTGTGTTATCAAACATTTTTCTTGCACTAAAAGACTAAACACAGCACTGTACCAGCTGCTAGGGAAATTACTGAGAAAATTAACTCTATTGTGTCCTAAAGGCTTCAGCAAATTAGCTACTCATGCTAACTAAAGCTGAGCAAACAGCATAAATCACACCATATTATAACTCTAAAGTAATTTATTCTAATTAGACCTTACTTATTTAAGCTAAACAACTAATATCTCTCAAGTCCATGGCATGAGAGGGACAAGCGGTCAAGGTGCAGATGTGGGAATGTTTCCCTGTGGGAGCACAGCCACCTTTGCCCGAGTTGAGTCCCTGCAGCAGCTGGGGTGGGAACGCTCTGGGATGGAGCGGGGACATGTTTCCCCTCACAGTTGTGCGCTGGGACCTGCCTGCTTGCAGAAACCAGGCACTGGCCAAGGTGTGGTGTGTCGGTGGGACATCCTCCCCCTCGTAGACTGGAATTCAGGGGGAGTCGTTGTCTCCAGGATGTCTCCCCTACTGCAGGCAGCTCTGCAGGCCCTGGCTCCCCGCTCCGGGGAGGGAGTATGGCGTGTGAGGTGTGTGCCAGCCAGAGGACAGGGTCTTCCCTGCATTAGACCAGGGGCACGAAGCGCGTTGGCCGGGTGTCAGGCCTCCCCTCTGGGGGGGACCCGGTGCCCGCAGCCTCCCCCACGGCCTCGCTCTCTTCCCGCAGGACCTGGGAGCCGCTGCCGGTTCCAAGCGCCCGACCTGCGTCATCATGATCAAACCCCACGAGGAGTACCAGGAGACCTACGATGAGTGCTTGGAGGAGGTGGGGGCGCTGCCCCTGCCGCTGTGAAGGAACGGGGACCGGC